AAGGTCTGTGCTCGAATCTAAAACTCAGCACTTATTTTCTGTGCATCTTTTGCAAGATAGCGAGCCATAAACCTAACATATTAGTAGTATTGGGTTTCCATGAGGACCCCAGTTAATCTATGTGAAATGTGTAGAACACTGCATGCCATAACATATTATGAAAGTGTTAGACCTTGCTGCCTACATAGCGTTTCAGCAAGGCTAGGAACTGTGCAAGTGGCCAAGTGGAATTAGCAACATTACAGGGCTCCAGTTCTCAAAATGGAAGGCCAAAAATACCCTTTCCAGTGGCAGTTCAAAGATTTGTGGAGGCATTTGGGGATCAAGTAGGGGACAGGAGGTGTCCTTCTATTGCCATTCAGTGTTGGGAGCCAGGGACTTGAAGTATCCTGTAGCAGTCTTTCATAGTGGGGGGGGGGGGGCTTTTCTCTATCTCAGATGATACCATCCAATTTCCCCATTTCAGCTGTTCATTGGTGGCAATTTTCAAATAAAGATTCTGGCACACAGAGCCAAACTTATGACCCATAGCCTAGATTGACCTACTGAGAACCGTTTTGTTTAATCCTCTTGATACTAATATTGGGGGACTCTACTGATTTTTAAATTTAAATCAGAGACTATCTTATTTATGAAGTTCACTTCATAATAACAAAGGGGATATTAATTGTTTTTGGAGTTTAGAGATGGCTTAGTCTAGCTCTAGCTTTGACATGGAAAACAAAAACAAAGAAACAAAACCCTAGGATCCAAAGAAATACAGTATGTCATAAAACTCTTAGAAGATAAGAGATCAAGTTTTAAGATTCATTCTAGGCTTTGTAAGAATCTGTAACTCGTAAAGAAAAAGAAAGATCTCTAAACTTTGAATGCTCCTTTTGTGCTTCTGCCCTGTCTTCCTTCTCTACCATTCTGACATTCACCACCAGAGAAAAATGACTGTAAAAAATAAAGGTCCAGCTGACCTTGGCACCCCAACATTCCCGGGCACAGAACCAACAAAGGAGCCCAATAGACCAGTCTCATGTTAAGAACTGACCTTTACTTTCCCCTTTGAGTGTCCACTTTTTCTACTGCAGTTCCTTAAGAGAACCTTTTGACAAAGGATACTTTCATTTATCTCCACCTCCCCACTTTAACATGAATCTTCCAGAACATTCTAAACTCCTTGATCTCCACAAAATTATGGAGGAATTAATTTTACTATTGGTACAGCTACAAAAAAAAAGATTTGCTGCATCATGTCAAATTTTTTTAACTAAGAAACGCAAAATAATAAAATAAAATAATAAATTCTCTCCCTCTCCCAGTGCTGTCTACTGCTCAACTCTGGAACATTCTGTCACATTATATTCTGTGAGTACAATGTTCCCTGGAACTATAAAGCCCAATATCTGCAGGGCAGAATGTGAGTCCATGCTCCTTCTCCCTATCTTAAAACAAAAAAAAATGAGGTCATAGTGTGAATTTTCTGATCTTAATTTTAGTAATTATCTGGTTAAGACTTAACTGGTACAGTGTGTTACTATTTAAATTTAAAATTCAGTTTAGTCTCTTTGCTAGCCACATGCTCAACTCTGGGACATCACCTAGCAGCTTCCTTTTTGATAGTCAGATGTTTGGTACATTAAGTTCTGAAGATTCCAGTCCTCCTTCCTGTGCTGTTCTTCTACCACCTTACTTTTTAAATAAACCACACAATTACTGTTTCCTGTTCAGGACTGTGTCAGACATCTCAGCATATTTAAAATATAGGGAACAAGGCCCTATGCACGCAAAATTAATTAAGAAATATAACCCACAGTAAAGGAAAGGGAAACAATCTACCTCGTAGAAAGGGCAATTTCATCTTTGTTTAATTTAAATTGTAGGAATACTAGCAGCTAGTATTTGACACATCTCTTTTATTCCCAGAGTGTGCCTCAGTAGAACAGTAAAGCGAGAGGGTTGACACTATCTTCCATCTTGGAGAATGACATTGTAACTCAGGAAGGCAATTCTGAGACAGAATGGGGACTAGAATGTAGTTACTGAAATTGTTGATGTCCAGAGTTTCACCTTATAGGATGTTGTGCCTTGAGTAGAAGTAGTAGAGTCACCACTAGAGGGCACATGTCTAGAAAGCCCCCCCCCCCCCCCCCCCCCGCCCCCCAAATATTAAACAAGTGAGTAAAAATTGTATGTCCCATAAAAATACATCTTTAAAACTACTCTTTAGTCCTCTAGTCCAATCCGATCACATTTCTGAAGTCTCTCTTTTGCACAAATTCTGGGATCAGCAATGTATTTCAGGACGACCTGGGGAAATATGTGTACTTTTCTTTAGAGTCTTCGAGGTGGTTGCCACATGCCCCTTCAGCTGGGAATCAGGGCAGTAGGCCAAGCTCAAAAAAAGACAGCTGTGATGTTTGACTGTGTGCATGACCAGTGCCATCCATATAAGGCCCCCAAAACACTGGAGCTCAGAACAAGAGGCTGTTCTGAGCAGGGCCTGCACTTGCATCTGGGGGAATAGACTGTGGTTAAGGTGATTCCCCTCTTCAGTTCTCCTTTCCTCTCCAGGACATCACACCATGCTCTGCGAATGCCTGGTTAAAGGTGTTTATAAAACTCACATTTCACTTGCATTCAAGAAAGTCTCCTAACTTTGAGCTTTGTGTCTTTGTTTTTTTTCCTAGAGCTATTTTTTTTAACCCCAAGGAATCATCTTTTCTTCCTCATTTTTGAGGTGAAAGAATTTCTTTTACCCCTTTGTCAAATTATTACTCATTAAATCAAAACTAAGAAAAGGAAGAAAAGCGGTGTCTTAATAAGCCAGATACTGGTGGCTCATGTCTGTAATCCTAGCTAGTCACTAGGAGACTGAGATCTGAGGATCTCAGTTTGAAGCCAGCCTGAGCACTAAGAAAGTCCATGAGTTTCTTAATCTCCAGTTAACCACTAAACAGCAAGACGCGGAGCCTTGGCTCAAGTGGTAGAGTGCCAGCCTTGAACAAAGAGGCTAATGGATAGCATTCAGGCCCAGTACCAGACAATGTCTAAATATTTTAAGTGACTTGTTTTGTCCTCCTCCCCTGAGAATTTCAGTAAGCATTACAAGCCCAGCAGGTGTCCTGCTGTGGATAGTCCAAACTACACCTGCTCCACATTCAACCTGCCCCTACCATGCAAACCAACATACTGATCAAGAAAACTTTTTTTTTTCCCAGTTTACTTCTGTTAATCATCAAACTAAAGCAAATAGCCTTCTATTTTCTGAACCCAGTTGGGGCAATTAGATATGAAGACATTGCAAATCCTCTAGACAAATAACAAAACAAAACAAAACAAAAAAGCTCCTTTGTATTCCCAGCTCGGCCAGGAGGCAGTCTTCAAGTCCCAGCAGGTTGCATCAGCTGTCCCACACGCGGGTTTCCCAACTCCACTTCCTCAGTGTCACACCACCCTGCACCACAATTCAGTGAGCAGGAAATTGGCTCAAGTTCTTACTTCAGGCCTTACATCAGTCACCATATTTGAAGGTCTCAGTTGAAACACTGTTTTAAGAGCTTTGGGTGTATTCATGCATTCATGCAGGTCATTGGGTAGTTAAGCACTAGCAGGTCCCCAGCTGAATAGCCGTCCCCTCCCCCAAAGCTCAATCTGTAGTCATGGTGAAATTATTTTCTGACATTAGAGGCAACCAAGGTGTATGCAGACGGCTAAAGAGGAGAACGGTAGATAAGGAGTGAGAAACCCAATCTTAGGGGAGAAGAAAAAGTATTATTTTATTTTATTATTATTCTTTCTGTTGGTCCTGGGGCTTGAACTCAAGGCCTGGGTGCTGTCCCTGAGCCTTTTCACTGAAGGCTAGCGCTCTACCACAGCACCACTTCCGGTTTTCTGGAGGTTAATTGGAGATGTGAGTCTTAGGGATTTTCCTGCCTGGGGATGGCTTCGAACTGGGATCCTCAGATCTCAAGTTCCTGAGTAGCTAGGATTATAGGCGTGAGCCACCAGCGCCTGGCAGAAAATATTATTAATTACCCTGCTTGACGTGTTCCAGAACAGGTTCTAAAGGATGTTCCCTATCTATTTATACATATATATATATATATATATATATATATATATATATATATTTTAAATACAGGAGGCTGGGGAAGGTCGGGGTGGCAAGTGGTAGTTTGTAAGGTTCCTTTCTCCCTTGCCGGGAAACTGTTGACAGATGCAAAGTTGATTCCATTCCACTGTGTGTGTAAGAGGTTGGGGAGGGCGGGGTGTAGAGGTAGAGGCTCTGGAGAACACCAGCAGAAAACCACTTCCCCAGCTCTCTCCCCAGGGGAAGCTGGAATCCAGACTGACCGGCCAAACTCTCCGGAGAGCCAGCCTAAAGTACTGCCTGCAACCCATCTCCCAGGGGCGCAACTCTACTCTCTCTCTCTCCAAACTGCGCGGGGAAGCGGAGAGGGGGTGGTTGGAGTGCAGCATTCAAACGCTGCCACCTCTCTCTTTTCTCTCTCTGGCTGGACCACGATTGAGAAAAAAACACACAAAACAAAACAAAACAAAACCCGTGCGCCCGGGTTTGCCCAGGCTTCTGAAGCGGGGGAGACATTTCACCCCAGCGGAACGCGATCCGCCTGGTTGCGATCAGGCCCCCGCGTTAACAACGGGCAGGGTGGATGCGTGGACGCCACGCATCTCCTCTGCCACTCCCCGCCCCGCGCCGGATCGGGTCCAGAGAACACGTCTCTGGTCTTTTTTCTCCTACCCCCATGAGCCAAAGCTGGTAATAAATAAATAGATAAACAACTAAAAGGTTCTCAAGTGGGCACAAAGTTGCTTCCAGGTTGAGTTAAAAGTTGTCCAACTCCACCCCCGGGCTGCCTTCTGGGGCCCTGGACCCCCAGCAGGTGGCTGGGGGTGAGGGAGGGTGGCGGGAGGGCGGGCCTGGGAGGAGCAGGGGTCGGACCCCCCCCCCGCGCCCCCTCCCCGTGCGGCCCGATCCCCTCACCTACCTTCCAGCAGCACCTCCTTGCCCGCGCGCTTCAGCGCCTGCACCGCCTCGTCGTGGGTGGCGTCGCGCAGGTCGGCTCCGTTCACGGACAGGATGGCATCGCCCACGTACAGGGCTTGGGTCTGGTCGGCCGCCAGCCCCTTGAAGATCTTGCTGATGAGGATGGGCATCTTGTTCTCTTTGCCCCCCTTGATGCTGATCCCCAGCCCGCCCAGCTCCTGCTTGAGCACCTTCACGCCGCGCTTCTGGTTGGAGATGGATTCGGGCACCTGCTCGGGCAGATCGGTGAAGGCGGTGCGCACCGTCCCGGAGGGCGAATCCGGGGCTGGGAGATTCCCCGCGGCGGGGGTCGGGTGCCCGGCTCCGCCGGCGCCTCTGCAGAAGAACGATCCAATGGTGGCGGCGGTGCCGATCCCGTTGTACGCCGCAGCGCCCTCTTCGCAGCTCAGCACCAGGGCGTCCTCGCTCAAGTTCACCAGAACTTTATGCCAACGATCCCGCACCAGAACTTCCAGCAGCCCGCTCCGCTGCGCCCGGCCGCCGCCGCCGCCGCCGCCGCCCGCCGGCCCCGCCGCCGCCGCCGCCGCCGCCGCTACCGCCATCTTCCTGGCATTCTTAAAATACCATGTGATTGCAAAAGCGGGGGGAAAAGTGGAGTAAGGGTGGCGGGGGAGGGCGTGGATGCAGCGGTGGGGTGGGGCGCAGAGGTGCGGGACCCGGGCGGGAGAGGACGCGGGGGTCCGGGGACTCCACGCGCCCCGCTGGCCGCCGCGCGCTGGCCGGGCGCGCCGAGTTGGCAGCCGCAGCGCGAGCCCTTTCCCTCCCCTTCCCCTGATCCGGGGCGGGGTGGAGCTACCTAAAAGAAGGAGAGAAGAAGGGGAGCGCTCCCGACCCGGGAGGGGAGGGGACAGGGGGTGCAGGGGGGCGGGCGGGAACCAAAACCCAGCCAGCTGCCAGTTGCATAAACCCCAAACCGACCCGGAGCCGCGGACCAGTCCAGCGCCCCGAGAGAAGCCGGGTAGGTAGGCGGAGGCTCCCCGGCCGGGAAGGGCGGGACAGCCGGCCGGTGCGACCGCTCACCTGGTTAATCTCACACCACCGGGACCCAAGGTTTAGTGCCTCCGACCCCCGGGGATGCAGCTGGACGTCGGGGATGGGGGACGAACTCCTGGCTCCTTTGGACTGGGCGCTCCTTCCTCTCCACTCTCCGGTGGGTCCCTTCTCTTTCTCAGTTCTCTGGGTGGATGCTCACACCTCACCTGTGCCAGGTGGTGGTGTGTGTGCGTGTGCGTGTGCAGCCGTGCGTGTGTCCTGTCTCAGTGCCCTCGCGGGAGGGGGGGTCTTCTGGAGTCCCTTTCCTGTGCACACCCCACCCCCAGCCCCTTCCTAACCCTCAGTTGGGTGCAGATTCAGCTCTTCCACTGGCCAAGGATTCTTGGCTGCTCTGGTTTCTCCTGTCCGCGAGGACCCTGGGGAAGATGAAGAAGGAGACCGGAGGCCCGGGTCAAGAAGGCAGATGTCCTAAGAAACCAGAAAGAAGTGTCAGCAAAAATCCCCAAGCGCTCCAAACCTCCTCTCTTTTAAGCACAAGACATCTGCTGAGCCGGAGCTCATGGCTTATGCTTGTGATCCTAGCTATTCAGGAGGCTGACATTTGAGGGTTATGGTTCGAAACCAGCCTGGGCAGAAAAGTCCCTTAGACTCACCTCTCCCTTAACCATCAGAAAACCGGAGGTGGCGCTGTGGCTCAAAGTGGGAGAGTTCTACTTGAGCTGAAAAAGCTTAGGAACAGTGCTGCTGAGGCCCTCAGTCCAAGCCCCACAACAGACCCTCCCTCGCCCCCCCCCCCCCCCCAAAAAAAACAAGTAAAAGCTATCTTTTCTGTGCAGCTATAGAGAGGTTTCCTTGCTGGCCCAGGGGCTTTCAACAGGATGCTATCTGCCTTGGAGCCTAGGGACAGAAGTTCTTCCAGCTCTAACCCAATCTATCCCCCACTGCTGCACCCAACACTTCCTGACATCTTTCTCTTTCTCCCCCTGCCCCAACTCCCCAGTTCGGAATTCAGCATGGTTTGCTGAGTGTTTTGACAAGTCACTTTTTGAATGTCAAGCCACCTTTTCCCAAGATAACAATATTACAATTTTTTTTTGGCATCTTCCCAGGCCATCCTAAACCCAACACACACATCTTGTTTTTGGCTCCCCAGCTAGAGTTCTCTTCTCATCCCAAGATCTCATCAGGCACTCAAAAGATGTCCAGAACTTCTTTTACCTTCCCCTCTCACCAATAATCCCAAAGTGAACAGAAGTCGAATATAGCTGCTAAATCCTGAGAGAGAACCTCCACCCAGCAGTGTGTCAGGAGGAAGGGCATCTTAGGGGTTTCCTGATGGATATCAACCATCCACCTTACCCTTCCCTACATTTACACTTAAATGGAGGATGCTTAAAAACTCACATGAGCTCCTGGAAGGGGCATCACTGAAGGACACAGAAAGATCTGGAGGTTTTCTTGGGGAGTCTCTGCGGGTCCAGGAACGCTTCCTAGTTGTTGCTTATGCACTCTGCTCCCTTCTCCTCAGTAGTTTTTAACCTGCCAGTTTTCTAAAGCTCTTGGGTGAAATCAGAGCCCGTGAGTCTGCATTCTGACCCTCACACGAAGGTTGAGATGGATGCCAGATTGCAAATGACTGAGATATCAAAAACCAATCTACTCCTGGACAAGAAGTTCTCCATCAACCGCATACCTGCCTCTTGCCTTCTTGGCACACCCAGAAGCAATTCATCTATTGATTAGCCAGAAGAAATTACAAGCTCTGGGATGGGACTTTCTCTCCATCTCTGTGAGAAGCACCTCTCCCCACACTTTTTTTCCTGTAGGAGTAAACTTATGTGGGAGGAAGTATATTGTGTGTTGAAAGCTGCACTGGACTGAGAGGAGATATATTGAAGATCATTAGGCATGAGGCACACATGCTAACCAGAAATAGCTTTGTTCATGGGGTTACAATTCTAGCCCCAGTTCTAAACACTGAATACATATTAAACCCATCCACCTGGCAGTTCTTGGGGGACACTCACATTTATTACCACTCCCATTTCACAGGTGAGGAAGGGGAGGCTCACCCGGGTTGTCTAATGAATAAACAAGAAGGATTTAAACCATTGTCCTACAGTCTCCTGAATATACGCTCAGCCTATCAGGCCCTGTGCCCCTCTGTGTACCAGAGTCAGTCTATCCACCGAGAAAGAAGAAGTGAGGGAGAGACCCTTCCTTTATACCATTCTATAAGACTAGAACCTGCAGTCTGCTTTTGAACTTCCCTTTTCCCCCAGATTAGGGAAAATACCCTTTTTCTTCTCATGGACACATTTTTTGTTTTGCTCTCTTTGGACATGTTAATATGTTGAAATGGATGGCTATTTGTGGTCATGCTAACTGAAACGTCTTATCCTTGAGACAAGTCTACATATCTCGACTTAGAAAATACCCAAGAATCAATTCATAAAAAGAAAGTGGTTACTCTGCATCATTTTTTAAAGGGTTCCCGTCCATGAGAGAGTCTGACCCTGTTGTTTTGGATCTATGTCATGGTAGAAGCATGTGTTAGGGCAATACTGTTTAACTCATGACAAGAGATCAAAGGATAGAAAGTAAAAGGGACTGGGTCTATTAAGGGCATGGTCCAATGACCTAGAGATCTCTACTTCAGAAAGGTTTTATAACCTTCCAATAGCACCAAGATTTTAATATTTGGGTCTTTTGGAGGAGCATATGCTGAATTGAAACTATGCCAACCCCTTTTGGCCTCTCCCTTTAAAGAATAGTATTTAAAGCTCAAGGCTGCATTTGGACTTCAAGGCCAAATCTCAAGGCTTTATTAGATGCTGCACAATTTGTGGTATGGCATCTACTAATTCCCTTCAGTATTCCAGAAATGATACCAAATGCTACTCTTTCACCAGATTCCATTCATTTAGTTCTTTTCCCTATTTGGTTTCCATGTTTTGTTCCAAAATTTGACTTTCATATCCCTCCCAGCTAAAATTAGGATCTTTCTGTTCCTCTCTCCCATAGAATATGTGGCTTCCTATAGATATTTAGTCACACAATGGTCTCCTCCAAAGAGCCAAGGAGAGCTACCAAAGGAGCTTCATGTGGGCACAGGAATGGTGCTCATCTGTTTATTCCACAAGGTTTTGTTTTATACCTCGTGTGTCTCTGGCACTGTTGCACATGCTGGATAGATGATCAGGCAGACTGGCAAAGACCTGCCCTAGGGAGTTTGCCTTGGAATCCATGACCAGATACACATGAAGACAAACTCTAAACACAATTTGCACATGCAAATAAATGATGGGGAGCAAGTTAAACAAAGCCACAGTATCGAGTGACTGGGCAAAGGGGCTGCTGGAGGAGGAGGCAGGGAAAGCTTTTTATGAGCAGGTGATACATGCACACAGACATGAATAAGGAAGAAGGTAGAGGGCCAGACCAGAAGGCAGGGCCAGTGCAAAAGACCTGAGACAGAGTTGAGCCTATCTAGTTCAAGGAGCCAAAAAGAGGTCAATATGTGGCTGGAAGGACAAGAAGGGGAGGAGAGGAATCAGAGGGAAGTGGGATAGGAAGACCAGATGGAAAAGTGGACCCTTGGGGGGTAACAACAGGAAGCATCTTCCAAGTCTTCTCTGAGCCTTGTCAACCAAACAGGAAGCATCTTCCATGTTTTCTCTGAGCCTTGTCAACCATGTGTTTTGGATTTTAAGAAACAGTCCTGGTTTCAAATCATACTGCCTATGGAGTAAATGTCTATTTGTTAGAACTCATGTTTCAATATTTGAGCCTAGAAAATATGATCATTCTCTATTTGACACCATTTCTTAAGAAATAAGTTTGGACATCTTTAGAAGGATTTTTCCAATGTACAGAAGATATAATAGATCTTACTATTTACTTCTACATGAAAATTGTGCTTACAGTTTGTCTCCACTTCCATCTAGCCACCTGCTACAACACAGACTTCCCAGGGCAGGTCTTGGCCAGTTTGTTTATATACCCCGTGCCGTGGAGGCCCAGGCACTGTTATAAATAGTGTAACCCACTATTTATAAGTAAGTGAAGACTTATTTATTTGTAAGTGAAGACTAAGTGAAGAAGAAATGGAAAGCTCTTTAATATCTAGGGGTGTATTAGAAAGCAGGATGGCAGAGGAATGAGAGAGGGTCTCAAAGCTCAAACATGCTAAGGTGCGGCCTGTCTGTATACCTACTCCTCTAAAGAATTTGGTAAGTGCTGGAGGTCAGCACAGGCAGGAGTACACAGCTGACTGAGAGAAGACATATCTGAGCAGCACACAAAGAGAACTGTGAAGAGAACAAGCTAGTGCCAAGTGTGAATAAGTCTAAAAGCAGTCAGATCCCAAGGCATAATGCTGGGCTATTGATTCTTTTTTGTTTTCATTTAAGAGTAAACAGAGACCACAAGAAGACAGGGTGGGGACTGGCACATGAATGGAAAGCAGGTCTGAGAAGTTTTAAAAGTTTTCCTGCCAGTTGGGTAACAGGTTCATCACCATTTTAAAAGTATTGGGGAGACACCCTTT